AGCAAGAATGAGTTTTGCTGGCAACTAGAGTGTGTGTCAGCTCCCTGCCACACCAGCCTGTCTTCCTCAGTAGCAAACTCCTCAAGGTTCGCCCAGCCCAGACCTTGCCTAGCAGATAACCATCAGTGAACTCCAGCCCCCCAAGCTCCTCAAAGATGTTTCTCTGCAATGCACAGCCCCTACCCCTGTTCATTCACAGAAGAGATTGTTTGCTGCTCTGTTAAAGAATCAGTACGTCACAGCTTATTAATTTAACTGAGGTAAATACTCCCTTCCCTTCAAACACAGCGCTGAATTGGTTTATAGTAAAAGTGAAAAGTTTATTAACAGAAGAGTATGGATTAAGTATATCAAGTAAAAGAGATAAAGGTAGAAATGGTTACAAGCAAATAAAAGTGAAAACACGCATTTAAAAGTCAAAAACTTAATCTAGCAAGATACAGTCTTTGTTCAAGATAGTTTCTCTTACCCCCAGTCTCCTTTCCAGCTTTTTACTGCCTGGCTTGTCCTGGCCAGGACCCATCACAGAGATCAGATCACTTGGTTTAATTGTCTCCTTAAGGTGCAGGATCAAGATGGAGAGTCTCTCTGTTCTTTCTATTCCCAAAGGGATGTCTTCGTTTTACAGGTCAGAAAGGTGTCCTGGGACTCAGTCACCTGTGTCCCTCTGGGGTGCAAGAGCCAGGTTAATTCTCGGTCTTTCAAGTTCAGTCTCAAGATAACCCCCACTGCTTTAGCTTGGTAGTTTTATTTATAGCTAATATGTAAAAACTGAGATAAACCCACATTCATTTGTCCAGGATGCACCTGTTTATCACCTTTACCTAGGCTAACCTGTCTTTGTCTTAAACTTCTAGTAACATTATACAGATGGAATTCTAACTTCACACAAAGTTAACACACACATTTTACAATGATATTGATAACCAGTGTGACTTTAGCTTTCAAATGAGATCTCACAAGGCATATTTTGTTCAAATATTATTGCAGTGGTGTGTAGGGTGAATACAGGGTGCCTTTGCTCACTCTCCATTGCTGAATTCCCTTGTCTGATATCACATTGTCTCTGGTATTGCTCACTTGCTCCTTCTTTCTCCTCTCACCATCCAGTCCTTCTGTGATTTCTAGTCCATTAGTGTCCATGACTTCTCCTCTGCTCTCCCCTCCTTCCTGCACCGTTGCCAGTTCTCACATTTTATCATGAATCTGGCAATATTTGGTGTTTTTCTTAAAGCTTCAGCTCCTGGAGTCAGGTGATTAGTATCTCAGCTTTCTAGCCTTCATGGTTGTGGGAAAAAATCTGAAAACTTAAAGGCTCAAAAACCAGAAGGCAAATAAAAACAAGATTTTATTTTTTTACCATTTCAAGATTTTAATGCATGGGATTGGTAATAGAGCTGGCCACTCTTCTTCATTGTCTGTCGTTGACTCTGTCTCCCATGGCAAGGTCTTCCACATCCCCAGCTCACCCCCCTCTATCCCTTGCTTATTTACATTAACATGAATGTTTTACTGGTACCTTGTGTCACAGTTCAGGGCAACTGCACCTATGTTTCTCCTCAGTGGTCTAGCACAACACCAACTCTTGGCTTTCAGCTCCCCAGCTGTTGTCTCTCTTGGGTGTAGACCTGTGTCTTTTTCCCTTCTGACCAGGGGATTTCCAAACTACACAATTCCTTGCTTTCAGAGGTTGCCCAAGGACACGTGCTTGCTTTCTCTTTAGAGACCGTTAAAATAGGTGTAATTGCTAGTTATAGGTACCATATGATTCTTTCTATGTAACCCTACTTTATATCTTAGGTTTCTTAAAGTAAAAAGTACTACAGAAAAAAACATATTAAAAATAATAAAGAATCTACATGCATGCTATTAAACCTACCAAAATTAACCCCATCCCTAATATGGATTCCAGCTGGCCCAGTCCTTCCAACCATACTCTAAGGCTTGGGGCCCTCCATGGATCAGGGGTCCTATCCACTTGCTGGATCAGAAAGAAGGCCCTGAGCCAGTTTAAAACCAGGCTATTTATCCAAAAACCCTTTCTTTGTCTGTTGGTCCTTGGACTAATACATTTGCCACCTAACTAGGGGGGTAGTTTCTCTGGAGATGTTACAACCTGAGTGAATTTGCCTAATCATCCCCTGCTGTTCTCCTACTTACCCTTCCCAGGGAAATACATACAATTCCAAAACAACACATACACAATTGCATTTTTAATACAATGAACTTCAGAGAAGTTAAAACTTCAATAGGTTTAACTTAATTCAGTAAAGTTTATTCAGGATATAATTGTCAGTCTGTCACACCTTGTCCTCCGCCTCTTCATTTGTTTGCTGTATGTACTTGTTTTTCATCATATGCTAAGATGTAAACTCTGGAGCAGGGACTGCCTTTTTAAATGACATGTATAACAGTATCTAACACAATTGGGGCATTATTCTTCAGAAAGGTCCCAATAATTCAGCCTGGAGTAAGTCTGACATAATTAGATGCAGTTCTCATGAATCTTCAGGTCAAATTCAGCAGTGACAGAAGTGGTGCCTTTAACACTAAATGGAGGCTTAAAGAGGAAGTGTAGGATAAAGCCACTGTTTACATCACTGTTTGCTCTACACAGGACAGAATCCTGTGCACACCAGGAAGACGTACCTTGTAAGAGCAGCAGAGCCTCTCTGAAGGGAGAGGGATCTAATCACAGCCACAGCAGACTTTCCTTTTTGCTTCCTTGCAAGTCTCCAGGGAGGAATGTAGGAAGCCCCCAGTACTAATAAAACACCTACTGCTTGAGGGCTGAATGGTGTGGAAAATATGCTGCTTTGTGTAAAAGAGTTCCACACTCCTGTTGAGGTTTCCTGTTCAATCTGCTACTTCTCCAATGCTCTACCCACAGACAAAGCAGTGCCAAACCCATTCTATGTTCTGCTATTCCCATCCTTCATTCATTCCCACCCTTTCCCACAGACATGGCATTGGAGCATGGGTCTCAGAGGGCAGGGGGAAGAAGAACTGAAATCATGTAATTATACATGTGTGTATCTTGGCAAGTGATACCCAACCCAAAATTAGAGACTGGCCCATTCCCTGGAATTCTGATCCAATTGGGAACTACCTTAGAATGCAGGGAGGTGTTCATACCTGGTTAAGGCTCATGTCTCTACACAAACATTAACTCTATAGATACTAGGACATGCACCAAAATAAGACCATGACAAGATACCACACGAATGAAATCAATCAACTAGGCTTGGGGTGAAGTAACTTTTGTTTTTACTAGGGCTGTCAAGTTATTAAAAAAATTAATTGTGATTAATTGTACCGTTAAACTATAATAAAATACCATTTATTTAAATACTTTGGATGTTTTCTACATTTTCAAATATATTGATTTCAATTACAATAGAGAATACAAAGTGTACAGTGCTCACTTTATATTTATTTTTATTACAAATATTTGCACTGTAAAAAACAAAGAAATAGTATTTTTCAGTTCACCTAATACAAGTACTGTAGTGCAATCTCTTTGTCATGAAAGTTGAACTTACAAATGTAAAGTTATGTAATAATAATAATAATTATTAATTATTATTATTATTATTTTAAATTAATGGAGATATCCTATCTCCTAGAACTGGAAGGGACCTTGAAAGGTCATCAAGTCCAGCCCCCGGCCTTCACTAGCAGGACCAAGTACTGATTTTGCCCCAGATCCCTAAGTGGCCCCCTTAAGAATTGAACTCAGAACTCTGGGTTTAGCAGGCCAATGCTCAAACCACTGAGCTATCCCTCCCCCCCAAAATACAAAAATACCTGCATTCAAAAATAAAACAATGTAAAACTGTAGAGCCTACAAGTCCACTCAGTCCTACTTCTTGTTCAGCCAATTGCTCAGACAAACAAGTTTGTTTACATTTGCACCTGAAAGTAAGAATAGACATTTGCATGGCACTGTTGTAGCTGGTGTCGCAAGATACTTACAGCCAGATGTGCTGAAGATTCATATGTCCCTTATTGCTTTGGCCACCATTCCAGGGGCCATCATGCATCCATGCTGATGACTGGTTCTGCTCAATAACGATCCAAAGCAGTGCGGACCGACACATGTTCATTTTCATCTTCTGAGTCAGATGCCACCAGCAGAAGGTTGATTTTCTCTTTTGGTGATTTGGGTTCTGCAGTTTCCGCATCAGAGTTTTGCTTTTTTAAGACTTCTCAAAGCATGTTCCACACCTCGTCCCTCTTAGATTTTGGACGGCACTTCAGATTCTTAAACCTTGGGTCGACTGCTGTAGCTATCTTTAGAAATTTTACATTGGTACTTCTTTGCATTTTGTCAAATTTTCAGTGAAAGTGTTCTTAAAATGAACAACATGTGCTGGGTCATCATCCAAGACTGCTATCACAGAAATATATGGCAGAATGTGAGTAAAACAGAGCAGGAGGTATACAATTCTCCCCCAAGGAGTTCAGTCACAAATTTAATTAACGCATTATTTTTTTAATGAGCGTCATCAGCATGGAAGCATGTCCTCTGGAATGGTGGCCGAAGCATGAAGAGGCATACGATTCTTTAGCGCATCTGGCACAAATATCTTGTGACGCCAGCTACAACAGTGCCATGCGAATGCCTGGTCTCACTTTGAGATGACATTGTAAGTGGGCAGCATTATTTCTCATAAGTGTAAACAAACTTGTTTCTCTTAGCGATTGGCTGAACAAGAAGTAGGACTGAGTGGACTTGTAGCCTCTGAAGTTTTACATTGTTTTGTTTTTGAGTGCAGTTATGTAACAAAAAAAAATCTACATTTTTAAGTTGTACTTTCATGATAAAGAGATTGCATTATGATACTTGTATGAGGTGAATTGAAAAATACTATTTCTTTTGTTTATCATTTTTACTGTGCAAATATTTGTAATAAAAATAATATAAAGTGAGCACTGTACACTTTGTATTCTGTGTTGTAATTGAAATTGATATATTTGAAAATGTAGAAAACGTCCAAAATATTTAATAAATTCCAGTTGGTATTCTATTGTTTAACAATGCGTTAAATCACGATTAATTTTTTGAGTTAATCACATGAGTTGACTGCGATTAATCGACAGCCCTAGTTTTTATACAAAAGGATCCATTCCTTTAGCAACTTACGGTCTAGGAATAGAACAATAAAAACTAAAAATACAAGAACATGGGAATCCATAAAGTGACTATTAGTTTTCTTAGTGTTCACTCATTCACTTAAAACAAAAAGGTAAGTTTTACATCATTCTTATTTTGATTAGGAAGCATCTGTTGCTACCCAGAATAGACTATGATTCAGCAGGCTGCTTTAGATATCCTAGCATATCAAATTCCATTGCATAGTCCCAAACGGATGTTTTCCACTTTCAAAAGTAACCATCTAATGTCAAGTCCATGATTCACACATCAGAATGTAAGGGCTCCAGTTCATTGCTCATAAACATAGGGAACCAGGTGGCAGATGCGCCATCAACCTCCTTAGCTCACATTGTAAAGAGTCAGATGTTACAGAAGGCAGCATTAAATCTTCACCATCTCCTTTCTACCTTTCTCCATCACAGAGCTATTTTGGCTCTATCTAGCTGGCTATTGGACACTTGAATAACACTTCTGGACAAAGGAATGTGATATGTTAGACACAGAGCATGCTAATGATATATTCATGTCCTATTATAGAGTTATTTCAGTATCAGAAGAGACCACACTGACAATGTTGCCATCATTTCTTAACAGCTGAGATACAGTTTGGACTTTGTAGGTCATGTTTTGAAGCCTCATTAATGTTTGCAAAAGTGCTTCTTTGAGAAAACTCCATAGCATTCTTGAGTCTAATAGATCCATATTCTACACTCTGTACCTCAAGGTGGTGTTTTTCATTCAGAGATTCTGCCTCATTTGTCTCAGAGATCTTTTCACCATCTTCATCATCTTCACTTTCCTGCAATGAAGACAAGACAATAAGAAAAATTCACTGGACAAAATGAAACCTATTCTGATATTTCCTATAAGGAGACACTGACACTGATAGCAATGTGAGTTTTCTGTTACCTTGGGCTGAGTAGCTCCATTACATAAGGTTGGGTTACTGTCTAACTGGCTGTAACTGTTATCCACAGAAGTAACAGGAACTCTGAGAAAGGCCAGCACTATAGCTTGGAACTTGTTTTAAGTTTCTGAAGTAGTGATCTATTCTGGAATTAAAAATGCTACAAGCCATGAAACATACTTAAAGTCTACCCTGAAAAGTAACTATGTAAAATCACCACCCTCTTACCGCTCTGCTCCGTGAGTTTATTCAGAAATAGGGTTACCAGATAGCAACTGTGAAAAAACGGGACAGAAGGGTGGAGGGTAATAGGCACCTATATAAGAAAAAGTCCCAAAAAACGGGACTGTCCCTTTAAAAACAGGACATCTGGTCATCCTATTCAGAAAGGGATCTATTTGCTTTAGTGGAAAAAAAGTAATTTTTACTACATTTTTTTTAGCTGTGCCAGTTCTGCAGAACATACAGCTCTGGCAAGGTGAGTTGGATTTTTTGGAGGGGTTGGGAGGGCACCCTCATGGGTCAGAATTTTTATGTTCCAGTTGCAAAGCCTCCTATGCAATCCTATTGTCCTCAAATTATGCCCTCAGTTTCCCTTATCAAGCTCACTAACAGGAATTAAATAGGTCTGCAGAGATGTACCTGAGGGCTTAAATTTGAGGACAGATGGGGTTGCACTGATGGAAAAGCACAGTGTTTGACTAGTGAAGAGCCAGAAAGAACCAACTTGAATGGAAGATCTCAGGCTGAATTTGCAGAGCTGGAGATGAGATTTTTATATTTTTAACACCTGTAAAAACATATTTAATATGGAAATTATTGGTCTACAAACTGAAAACCCACAATGCCATTTTCACACAAAGTAAGAGTGTAGCCTATAGGGATAGGTATTTGCTAGGTAAGGCATAGACATAAGTTAAGGCAGTAAAGCAAGGAGTTTATGGGCCACAGCCTGTAAGACAATAGCTTAGCTAAACAAGGAATAAGGCACCAAATCCTTAGCCTATGCAGTTAACCAGGAGTAACTCCAGATCATAAGAGAATGCTGTAATGACTAAACTGCTAACAGGTAACCATAAGATTCTAGTTTATACTGGTTTGGGATATTTTAAATTAGGAACATTCGCAGATGTCTGATCACAAGAGTGCTATGGTAACCAATTGATGTATATTCTAATTAAGCTTGAGGTAAAAGGCCTACTGACTTGTGGGACAAGGGCACCCCAACATTAGTAGGGTGAGGAAATACAAATAAGGACAAGGAAAGAAATCCCTACTGAATATGTGTTAGGCATAGTGGTGTCAGTGTAACACATTATAAAAGTTGTCTCCCAGCCTGTGTGCTTAGGAGGGGAGAGATATAGCTCTTGGGCGGTGCCAGGATGATGACCACTGGAAATGGTGATGAGGAAGAAGATGATGGTGAGGCAGATAACGACTAACATTTCAGGTTGTTCTGCAATGGATGGTGTGAGTATATGGATGCTCAGATGCACATTCTGTATTATCTCTATCTTGCTTGGTTGGAACGTTTGTGACTTTGCTTACTGTATTAATAAAACTATCACATATACAGAAGATTTTCCATAAGTGTAAGTGTTGCAACCGTGTACATCAGGGTTCCCAACTGAACAGTAATTCTAATACTACTGGCCTTGATCTTGAGACAAGAACCTATCAAAGCTTGGGGTGCTAACTGGGAATTCTTAAGTAATCAAATTAATACACAATCCATAGATCAGGCAACAGGACCATCTTTTAAAGAATAAAGCTGACCCCAAGCAAGTATTTCAGATTTGTGGGGGTCTGTGGTGGGTTTAAAATAAAAAAAAATTGTGACTAGTCCTTCTCTCTAAAAGGACCAAACTCAAATTCTATATAAGGAAATCTCTGAAATTTGGGGGAGATTCAAAATACAGACCCAGGTCAAAATTTTGCAGCTTGGGTTCATCTCTGTTTACAAGCAGCCTTCAACCATGCAAAATTGTCTGAAAATGTGGTGGTGTCCTTATACATCCATTTCCACCATAATTCAAAAGGTTGTTTCTTGTAAAACTTTGTTGCCAGAACTCATCCAATTTCTGTGTCCTTAGCTAAATATAACATTTCATTTGCATGCTCATTTGTACACAGCAGTTTCCTCAAGAAACAGACATGCCTTTGATCAATTTAACCTACAACAAAACAGCCATATATCACGGTGATCAGTAACCAATTTCTCAACATAGCAGGGCAGGGCAGGTCCTTTTGTTCCAAGTTTTGGAAGGAATGAGTAAGAGAACAATTGGAATTACACTACATTATTCAGTTGGAACAGTCTTCTGGACCAGAAGCCAGCAATGCTAAGAGAAATATTTCAGTAGAGTAGACCTCTGGTGCTTTGTAAATAGCTGACGACAGAAAAAATAATTCTAAAAATAGGAAGTTTTTGAAGGAGTTTGTGTTGTTCACACCCCAAGACTTCTCCATGGTTTTGCTGAGTCCTCATGGAATTTTCATTTACTTCTCTATTCTAGGACCACCATTCAAACGTCTTCTGTTTAGGTGTTGCCAATACAGCACCGTGACTCAGTCCAGACAGGTGTGACAACATTTTTCTCCAACACCCATCCCAACAGTGGTTTCTGAATCTACTAACATGGAGTGATGTTAGAATGAATGACCAAGCTTTCCTGCCACTACCAGGAAACATATCCAGATTGTCTTCGCAATGGAGCTCAACCATGTCAACTCACAGAGTAAGACTCCGAAACTCATTCTGGAAGAGAACTAATCCACAATAAAAATGTTTAAAATCAAAATCCTGCAGCCTGAAAGTTTAATCACAGCCACTTCAATGTATATAGTTCATTCTGATGTGAGCACATCTCAAAGCTTTTCATAGGACCTGTAGAGATCTAGTGACCTTAGTAAAGCTTCGAGGATCCCACAAGTGATCCACTGAAAAGATTTTAAATTACATATACAGAGAAAAAATAAGAGAATACACATACACACAGGTTTGCTTAGATTGTAAATTCTATGGGAGGGGAGAGTCTTAGTTTTCTGTCTTGTTTGGAAGGAAGACTGTTGGTTCTTAATAATAAAACATGATAAATTAAGTGCCCTATTTTTTGTTCTCCACTTGTTAAAAAGCTATGTATGCATTTCATTTACCTTCTTCTGTGTCCTGTAGTATTCATCTATTGCATATTGATATTTAGGTTCATTGAGTCCAAAGAGCATGGCAAGCTTCCCACCAAGGAATTCGCAAGCTGAAAAGACAGGGAGGAGAAAGAATAACAGTAATTCTATCCCTTACATAAGAAAGAAGCTTGTATAGAGAGACACTTTATGTGGTGGGAGAAAAGAAATAGTTGTACACACTGACGTATATATGAACAAAAGGACAAGGGCTGTCTTCATCAGCTCAGGAAATACAAGTCCACTTTCAGTATGTCTAGTCCTCACTCCAGAAAACTACTTAATGGCTACCCATTTCAATCCTTTTCCAAAGAACTGGCCAGCATTCCTGGAAATGACGTATGTCACTTATACCAGTTGTAGTCTGAGGCAGTTTCTTCCATACTGTATTTCAATTACACTTTGTGTAAACAAATTCAGCCTGGGTTGTTTTACACGTCAATTCACTCTCAAATAGTAACGAGGTCATAGACGTGTCTTCTTTCCTTTCAGGATCTTCTTTCGACTTACGAAAGTCTCCCTTCCTCTTTATCAGAGAGAAGAGATGGACTTTATACCTCTTGTGTTTAGGAGGCTATTGATTTTTGAAGGGAAAGAAAAAGTCATTGTGACTGCTTTCAGGTTCCACTTTTTCAGACTTAGCACTGGCTGCCTGGAGAATCACAATTTATCAAAATTGTATGTAATAATGTCAGTTGGCAGAGCTAGATTGTCCTAATCCATCTTTCTGCAGTATTATGCTTGTTAACCTGTCTTCACTCTGACCTATTTCTTTTCCTGATGGCTTCAGTTTCTTGTCCCTCTGCCAACTTCTAATCTGCTTCAGTAGTTCTACCTTTATTTGTGCCCTGATTTTCAGTTGGTTATATCAGTCTGATCTGGAACGCTTAAGTATTTTTCTAAAGCCCAGGTAGATTTTGTCCACCCATTGTTTTACCTCCTGTCTTAAACTTAAACTGCTGGGGCTGAAATTTTCCATGCCTGGTGTCTGTCTCAGCTGAAATTTTTGCAGAAGTTTCAACTAACATAATTGTCATTTTCAAGAATGAGGTTAGGAAAAAAAATGGTTACAGCTGTTTCATTGAGGAAGCTGTAGCACCTCCATGATTTAGAGCAGGGACTTGAGATTTGGCTTTGCCCTGGTGTCAGGATGCACCTTTTGCCATCCCTATGAAAATTTGCCCAGATTTGGTCACGTTATAAGCCATAGTATAAGAACATAAGAATGGCCATACTGAGTCAGACATCAATGGTCCATCTAGTCCAATAAACTGTCTTTTGACATCTATCAATGCCATATGCTTCAAAGGGAATGAACAGAACAGGGCAATCATCAAGTAATCCATCCCATCATCCAGTCTCGCCATCTGGCAGTCAAAGGCCTAGAGATACCCAGAACATGGGGTTGCACCCCTGATCATCTTGGCTAATAGCCATTGATGAACCTATTCTCCATGAATTTATGTAATTCTCCTTTGAATCCAGTTCTAGTTTTGGTCTTTACAACATCCCTGAAAAAAAATCTGTTAGCATGTGCTCAGTAGAGATTTGTTAAAAGCTGGAAGCCAAGTGCTCAGAAGATTCCAGCTGCACTAAGCATGCTCCATCCCTCACCGCTCCTATGTGCTGACCAGACTGTGCATGCACCATCCCCAAAGAGCGGCTAAGCATACATCATCCCTAGCTGAGTAGCTCTTTCCCTTCAACTGTTTTGCCCAGTTCCCAGGAGCCACTGTAACCAAGACCAGAGAGACTGTATCTCCTGTACCCTCAATGCTCCCCTTGCTGGTACCCAGAAAGCACAGAGGAGCAAGCAGCATGACTAGAATGTAGAGATATGAGCAGGAGAGACAGGAAAGAGAAGTGCAGGGCAGGGCAACTGGAACAGAGAATGTGATGGATAGGAGCAGAAGGGGACAGGGCCAATGGTTATAAACCACTAGAGTACACTTTCCTCCACAATCTGGAACTGAACCCATTATTCCCAAGACTCACTATTCCTTTGCTGTGTAGCAAATAGCTATGAAACCCATGCCCAAAGTTTGCATCTTATCTTCTATGTTGACCTGCCACTAGGAGGGGTAACAGCATTCTACTGCTACTGGTTAATCTTTTAACTCAAGTGGCAGACGAGTCAACTGTGCTGTGGATCTAAATATCCAAACCCTGGTGACAGGGGCAGCTCTACGTATTTTGCCACCCCAAGCACGGCAGTCAGGCAGCGTTCAGCGGCGCACCTGGGGGAGGTCCGCTGGTAATGCGGATTCGGCGGCATGCCTGCGGGAGGTCCCACGGTCCCGTGCCCTTGGAGTACCTGCTGCCAAATTGCCGCTGAAACAGCAGGACTGGTGGACCTCCTGCAGGCATGCTGCCGAAGGCTGCCTGATTGCTGTGGTCACGGCGGCCGCCAGGCCGCCCCCCATGGCTTGCCGCCCCAGGCACATGCTTGGAGCGCTGGTGCCTGGAGCCACCCCTGCCTGGTGATGACCCGTGTATGTGTGTGTGGGTCAATATAGTTTCACATGATTGTTTTTTCCTTTTTTTAAATATGCAGGAAATTACATTTAAAAAAAACTAAGTTAAAAGAACATTAAGGTGCCAAAGTCAAGAGATGCCAGAATTAAGATTGCCTTGTATATATGCATTGTAGTAGTCTTTAATTATCACTTTTTTCCACAGGACCTCTGCCTCATTCAGGACACAGGACAGACTGTAAATGGATCCTGGGAATGGATCGTGATTGTGCAGTGAAGGAGATTGTTGTCTGCAGGATCCCTTCCTATTTGTTACACATTTTGGAAAGTGTGCAGTGAATGAGGCAGGGATTGCAGGAACAGAGAGGACAGCGGCATGATTAAGATAGTTGAATGCTGCCCCGGAGAAAAGGATTCGATCCCAGCCTTTGCTGCAAAGTTCCTATGTGGCGTCGGGCAATAACAAAAGTTTTCACAGTTGGCCACTGTGTGCGTGCATCTCATTTTCTGAGTCCCAGATTGACACACATGGGATCTGAACTGTAGAAATGCTGACCTCACAGCTGCAATAAAAGCCAACACGAGCTTTGCTTAGAGCATTAAGCACCTTAATATGCGATGTACTAACAAAAAACGCATCTCAAATAGGGCACCCAAAATTAGTTGACACTTGACAATTTTGGCTCTAATTTCTGTGCCAAACATCAGTTCTCAGTGTGTAAAAGGGAGGTAATATCCCCATTCCATAGAACAGTGTTGTGAAAATAACTCCATTGTGTTTGTGAACACTACAATGACAGCACTATGATGACAGCATCATAGAGACACTCAAGAGGAAAGTAATAATTCTAGAGTTTTGATGGTGTGCAGTAAATAACACATGGGGCACACATGGAATGGAGGATAAAATCAGATACTGAATAGCTAACCATTCAGTGAGCACCATCCCTTGTGTGCACTGAATGAGGCAAGGGTTTTGTGGGGAAAAGTATTACACCTCTACCCCAATATAACATGGTCCTCGGGAACCAAAAAATCTTACCACGTTATAGGTGAAACCGCATTATATCAAACTTGCTTTGGCCTTCGATTGGCAGACGCCGGTCCCCAGATAGTTTTCAGAGCTCTTACAACCCCTACTTTAGGCTGAGGGGTCAGCATGGCGGCAGCTGTGACTACAGCGGCTTTGAGTTATGCAGCGGCTACAAGTTACGCCGCGGCTACGAGTTACGCAGCGGCTACCCCCAGGCTGTTTGCTGCAATCTCGCTCTAGGCAGGGTACAGGGAAGTCCTGTTTTCCCACCCCTGGCGATCCCCCCACGCAAGGTATCGGTCTCCATCCTCTCCCTGCTGGGTGAGGTGGCATCTCAGTCCTGCCTCTCTGCTGAGGGCCATGCCGGCTGGCTGCAGCCTTTGCTATGTGGGCAGCAGGGACCATGCAGCCTGCCTCCTCGATGGGGAGTTGGGCCCTGTGGGGTGGGGTAGGGCGGGGTGAGACTCGGGCGGGGCACTGCGCCGGTGGCTCCCACTTGTCTCCTGCTGTGCCCTTCTGCTGCGCCCCGCCGCCGCCCCAGATCGCCAGTAGATGCGAGAGCCAGGTGAGGCTGGCCCTGCAGGTGGCTGCTCCGGAAGCGTGTCTGATGTGGTGGCAAAATAACGAGCTCTGTGCAGGTAGAGAGAGGTCCGCTCGCGTGTGGCAGAGCCTTGCCACGGGGGACTGATGGGCTGTTACCTAAAGGACTCCATTCCCGGCCATCTCAGGCTGGCCGGTGCATCCTGTACCTGTTCGCGCCTCTGATCGCTCGCTGGCGGGGTAGGGGGTGTTGTTGGTTTGCGCACTGGGAGTTGTTAGCTGAACTGTGCTGCCAAGCAGCGCCATTGTCTTTCTCTTAGCCAACAGCGGCACAGCCCTGACCTCAGAGCGCTGCTTTACCGTGTTATATCAGATCGTGTTATATCGGGGTAGAGGTGTATGTGATCATGTAATTAAGAAGATTATATAATTCCTATGCACAAGGGGGCTAAATTAAAATTGCTCAGGCACCCTTAATGCTGTCATTTCCTAGCTTTTGAGTGCTTGACTTTGAAACTTTAATGTTCTTTTAAGGTAGTTATTTTGGATGCAGTATTTGATATACTGTCACACTAGAAATGAAAAGGATACCTAGCATCTGCCAGCTAAAATGACATACACAGAGGCTAGCGTTGGTTAAAACCATCACTGTGACAATGAAAAGCTGATTTGGTATTAGAGGGCTAAATGAAAGTGAGACCAGCTTCATGGCAGCAGACCCACAGGAAATCATCTGCCGTGCAAGTTATTTCCAATGAAACCTGCTCTTCTTCAGCAGCTGCAGCATGGCACATGGTGCTAGACATGTGGGTAATACAAAAGTCAGAGTCCCCAAGGCTGCATAGCCAGATCATGACATACTGGTACAGCCATCAGGCTCCTGGCACTGAAGTCAGGTTGCTCCATTAAGCATGCTGAGGCAGTCCCCACACTGGTGGGAGCTTCTTTCTTGTCGCTGTAAGAAACTTTATTTTTTAAAATGACAATGGCCTGATCCCAAATAATCTAACCTAAAGTATTTCATATTTAATAGTGTTACCTGGATGTCTATCTCCTTGAAAGAAAATACCTATATATCGAGAGAGAGAGAGAGATTTTTTATAGAATAGCAACACCCAGTTTTGAGAGAATACATGAAACAAATAAGATGGAGGAAAATGTTCTGGTTGTGGTCTTATATTTTAATAATATTTAACGGTAATTATATTCAACTCATCTAAAATAACCCTCCCATTGATGCCCAAAAATATACCTACTAAAAAGTGAAGTTGTGGCGATTCGAACTGCCCACAGCCGCAGATAGAGCCCCCAGGAGAGTTTGGACTACAAAACAAGAACAAAAGAAAAACTTTAATTTTAGACATACAGAGCTGAACTAATCCATGGGGTCGTATCAGAGATTAATTTGGCCCATAATATTTGCCACATGCAAGGGCTCTCCCACTGTGTAGGGGAGAAAGCGAATTGTTTTCTTCAGTCTTTACAAAGGCTGCTGTTCAAGCTAGCTAGTCTCAGCTGATTTACAGTAAGTCTCTGTCTGTTTACACTAGGGATCCCAGTCTCATTTACCAAGCCAACAAGAATCATCAGTACAATGAACATGAGGAACATCTAGACAATAGAACACAAAGGGTCCAAGCCTGCAAAATACATAAACCTCTGAGGAACTTTGAACTCAATGGGACTTCCTCATGTGAATAAAGTTGTTCACAGGTTTAAGTATTTGCAGGATCAGACCAAAATACTAAAAATATTTAGAGATTTTTGACAGACATAGACACATATGTAAATGTCAATACTTAGCCTAATATAATACATTACATTTTCAGAGATGTTTACAAACATTACTTATCCTCACTGTATCCCTGGGAGATCTGTAACTTAAGGCTGGTCTACATGGGGATGAATTGAAACAAATTAACTAAGGCCTTGTGTACATTCAGAAATTAGGTCCGTATAACTTCATTGGTCTGAGGTATGAAAAATCCACACCCCTGAATGACACAATTAAACCGACCTATCCCCTGGTGTAAGTGCCCTACTACACCAACATAACTCCACCATCACGAGAGGGGTAGGGTTTATGTTGGTATAATTAGGGTGATGCAGTGTCTGTGTAGACAGCGTGTTCCTTACCTGGGCTGTTCCCTGGCTTTCTTATCAATTTCATGGCTCCTTGCTGGAGCCATGAAATTGACCAGAAAGTCCTCCCTGCTCCCACATAGGCTGCTGCCTGCTGGCACTGCCAGGGTCCCCACTCCAAGCCAGGCTGCTCCTGGGGTCCCAATTCACAGCTGGGAAGCAAGAGCCTGGGCGGGCTCCTGACAGGGAGGTGAAAGCTGGGGGAACAGGGGAGCAGCCAGGCTCTCAGCAGAGAGCAGGGAACAGAGAGGTAGGTGGGAGGTGGGCAGCTGCAGGGAGCAGGGAGTCTGTGGGGCAGCCGGGCTCCCAGCAGGGAGCTGCGAGCAGAGAATGATTCTTGGTCAGTGGACGTAGTGTGGACATGAACCACCACAGTAATATATATATATAAGTTGACTTCCGAGTTTTTAGTGTAGACATGCCCTAAGGCCACTTTTCTTCTGAAGTAGTGTGCAAACAAGGGTTTAATATGCTTTAACTTCATATCTTTATTTAATTAGTCTTAACTTTCCCCAAGTGTCCCCATGTAGACTAGCCCTCAGTCTTGTTCTCATTTTAGAGATGAGGAAATGGATGTATGGCATTTAGGAATGGGTCACGGAGCGCCAGGAGGCATGCTCCTGCATGTTTTTGCTTGGGGACATGAATTCCTTTTGGGTAGGTTTCTTCTCATCTCCTTGCTGCATTGTCACCACAAGATGCAGCTATCATTAGATAGGGGTATAGCATAAGAGTCATGAATTTTTCCTCCTATTTTGATCTGCTTAACCACTACTCTCACTTCAGCAGTCAGTCCCATGGACATCAGGAATAAAGCACGTTAGCAGGAGAACTTGAAGAAGCTTGTACTGTTGCTATCCAAATTGTACTAAATCTGTTCTGTGACTGGTTAGAGAAATCACAATATTTACAGAGGAAAAAAAAGAGAGGTAAGTGATTATCTACAGAGCTAGCTATTATGGCTGTGAAGGGTGCAGTGTTCTCTAACGTGCATAGAGCAGAAACACTCTTCCCCTCTTCCAGTCACCCCAGAGTTTCCTAAAAGCCAATAACGGGGCTCACTGTGTCAAGTGGCTGCTGCTGCTCCTCCTCCTCCTCCTCTTCTTCCGTACTGTACTCTTCCATGGTTTCACCATTTGCAAAGTAAATGATCCTCCTTGGAGACTTTGTTTCTCCCCTGTCTTTATCCTCCATCTCATTGTGCTGGAAGCCATCCTCCTCCTGCTCATCAGAAAACACCCACCAGGAGTGCCCACTTAGTACACTGAATGGACAATGGACTGCATAGTGTTCAGCTTCACCTTAACTCTTAGGCTAAGGAATGACAGGACTGGGTTTGAGAATCTTATTTAAGCCCTCAAAAGGTATAAAGAGTCCTGCATATTTCAGTTTGGGGAAGAAGAAAGAGGTCCAGGGCATAGGCGGAGCTACAGCAACATGGCCTGTGTCATGACTGCTTCCAGCTCTTACAAGAACAGGTACAATTGTTGGTGTCTCAAACAGCTCTTCCATGGGTCTTCAAATGTCTGTACGTGTTTTCTGTCATTGACTCAGAGTATACTACTACGATCTAATATGAGAGACACTTCACAACAGCAAAAACAAACAAAAAGTGTCAGAAGGGCCAAATCATGCGACGTGAATGGCGCTCAGCACCTTACAAGATCACAGCCTAAATCAGAGGTGAGCAAAGTACAGCCCCTGGGACCGTCTTGCCCGATCCTTGCGCTCCCAGCCAGGGAGGCTAGCCCCAGGCCCCTCTCCCGCAGCCTCAGCTCACCGTGCCACCAGTGCTCTGGGCGGCAGGGCTGCGAGAGCCTTAATACACTACACCAGCCCTCCATACACTTTTGGAACCTCGTTATGGCCCTCAGGCCAAAAAGTTTGCCCACCATTGGCCTAACTGAACAATTTGCAGCTTACTACTGTGCAACTGAATAACCAGGCAATACTATTTATATAGCACCAAAAAGTGCACTGAGGGCTTCAGAAATAGGGATGACAGGTCCCTCCCCCACCCTCCCCGAAGAACATCACAGATCCAATGGGGGAGAATCATGATTTCCTTTTTCCACAATTCCTATTCTTTTTTTCTTTCCTTTCCCCTTCTGCCCAATTTTTATTAGCATTTGCCTTTTAAATTGCTTAACTTGGGCCCATTTGGGTTTTGTCTGGGTAAAGACTACAGCAAAATGGACAATGCATACATCTTTTTAAAAGTTTATCCTTTCATAATTTCAAATTTCAACAACAGCTATATAAAATATAATCTAGAGTTAAGAAGGCAAATAGATATGAAGTAACTATGGAGAAACCCTTAAGATAATAAATTTCTTAAACTACTTACGCTCTTAGCCCAATGGTGTACCATAATTTTATTTTTAATTTCTTTGATATTTTCCCTTCCAATATATAGCATTCTTCAAAATAAATATCTTACTTCAAGTCAGACAGGAAAAGTTAGTTATATATGCTACCTGCTACTATGTTTTCCCCATTCCATTCCACTAATCAATTTCGAATCAGTCATAACCAACAAGACAATAAGATCATTACTTTAACATTCCAAAGACAGAATAAATATTAGTTTACAGTGTTCTCCTTATGCTTGAAGGAGAACACTGGTGGGATCAAATACTGTAAATACATTGCTGAAATATAGAAATGTGTGAAATCTTCAGCCAACAATAGATCAAAAGCAAATTCACCTGTAGAATCTCTCTGGTATCTTCCATCACTTGACGTTGTAGTGCAAAAGTTGATTAAGTTGTTTCCAAGACAAGTAAGGGAAAAAACCTAGAACCATGACACTTAGTGATCATGTATGTAATTTGTGCATGGAAAAAAAAACCACTCTGTAGCATTGGCAGCAGCTCAGGTCTAGAGGCAAGTCAAGGAAGGTAAACTCAGTGCTCCAGGATGCAACTATCTGAAAGAACTGGGCTGTGTTTGAATTGTGGGCAGGACCTTTTTATTTGCATGTTCAGCAAAGTTAAGATGACTAGTTGGGGTAGCAAAAGGAATGGGGGCAAGGACATGGACATTTGCTCATAGATACCCGGGGAAGGGGGCGGGGGTGGAAAACCCTGCAAGCTGGTTGTTTTTAAAGCATATCACATTTCTTGAGGACATTTTCAGCATTCTGCTTCCCTTGGGTTTTGTTTAATTTATGAAGTGAACTTTGACTTTACTAAGGCTAAGTCACAGGTGTAATATTTACTTTTTCCAGCAAAGTGTAGGAACCAAACACACACCCGCAAACACAAATATTTCCTGCAACTGGTATGACACCTACTGGCAGTTTGGAGGAATAGGTCCATACATCAGCAACTGCTAAACAACTTCTTAGCAGAACTAGCCAATCTTCAAATGAAATCTAATAAAACAGATCAATGCAACCTATCTGGCATCTTTGGTATTGGAACAACAGAGGATGCTGCAGATGTGGGTGAAACTGGGCCTACTACTAGTTAGGAAGTACAATTTCTTCCCCTGCTCCAGGTACCTACTGACGTAACCTGCCCAATAGCAATAGTAAAGTACCAAATCACCTTATCAGTTAGGCATATGCACATGGCATTCTTTATCTTATCAGTGTGTTAAGAATGTCCTGTAGGTTTTCAATTTAGTGCAAATGCAATAACAATACTCATTTTAATTTATTCAAAGAGAAATATTCCCTACTACTATAATTATTATTTTAAATGCAAAGCCAAAAAAGGGACAAGTCTTAGATGGACAAAAGTTAGAATACAAATGATAAACTACTCAATGTTCTAGAGTGTGCAGTCACAATTTTCAGACCAAATATGTGGTTGGTAAGTATCTTTTTTTTTTTTTAAAGTGAAGTACCCCACTCTTTCCTTAATTTACTCTATTCAGAGATCAACCAGTGAGTCTCACCTCAAATATTAGGCCATAGCCCCTGAAGGTACTAATATCAAGCAGGGGAGAGATTGTGCACATGAAAGACCACAGTCCTGGGTCCCTCAGATGCCCAGTGGAATCCGCAGACAGACATTCTCAAGAGCATGATTGGCACTGGGAGGGAGTACGTGAAATCAGAATATACCCTAGAGGCTATTGTGAGCTACTTACACCAACAATGGCATGAATAGTCTCAAGATGAGTACTGAAAGATAGCCTACAGTTGCTGTGCAAAGTCCCTAACAGGCATCATGAATTTATGTTCCATAAGTTTCTCATCCTATTCTCTCAATGCCAAAAAACACCTCATGTTGGCATTTCCCCACAGCAATGCAAATCATTAGGGACAGGGTAAAAATGCAAGGAATAAGCATTAGCAGGATCTATGTTAACTTCAGCTTCAGAGACTTTAGATTCCTTCTATCCCCATGTTTGATACTACCACAAATATCCTCCAGCCTAGAGGGGCAGAATATGTCTTCCTCCAGATCCCCCCTGAGCTGCATTAAGATAGGTCAGGAGTAGCAGGTAATAATGTTAAAAGCATATGAACCTCTGCTCTCTTCCCTGCTCCCAACTCAGAATTGAAAAGGGAAAACAGGACAGAAAATTTGGGTAGTAATGGAACTGGGTCTTTGTGATCTTGTGAGAAGGCTCTAGATATGACCACATCAAGAGCAGAGACTCCATTTGGACGCAGACCAGGACCTGGGTGAGATTACATCTTCAAAGCACCTAGCTAGAATGGTTCCCAATAACCTACTATGTAAAGCAGGGGCAGGCAAACTTTTTGGCCTGAGGGCCGCATTGGGTTTCAGAAATTGTATGGAGGGCCAGTTAGGGGAGGCTGTGCCTCCCCAAACAGCCAGGCGTGGCCCGGCCTCCGACCCCCCCTGCTTCTTGTCCCGACAGCCGCCCCAGATTCCTGTCCCATCCAACCCCCCGTTCCCCGACGGCACCATAGGACCCCTGCCCCATCCAACCACCCCTTTTCCCTGTCCCCTGACTGCCGCCAGAACCCCTGCCCCTGACTGCCCCCTGCCAGCCCATCCAACCCGCCCCTCCTTCTTGACTGCCCCCACCAGGACCCTGCCCCCATTCAACCCCTGTGGTCCCCCGCCCTCTGACCACCCCGACCCCTATCCACAGGGCAGACGAGGGCGTGGGGAAGCCAGTACAAATTACCAGGGACCGGCGGTCCAGAAGGGGGCCTGGCTTCCCCACCCTCCATCGGCCCTGTTTAGCCGGTCTGCCCTTGCTGGGGGGCCCAAAAATTTTTTCTCACTGGGTCCCGAACCCACTCTCGGCGGCCCTGCTTATCCACACTCCACCCTCTGACCACAACCCCGAACTCCTCTGCCCTCTCTTCAACACCCCCTGCTCCCTGTCCCCTTACCGCACTACCTGGAGCACCAGGACAGGCAGTCATGCCACTGCGCAGCACAGAGCACCGGGTCAGGCCGGGCTCTGCAGCTGCGCTGCCCGGCAGGAGCTCGCAGCCCTGGCGCCCAGAGCATTGCAGCGGCGGTGGAGCGAGCTGAGGCTGCAGGGGAGGGGCAACAGCAGGGGAGGGGCCGGGGGATCGCCTCCCGGGGCAGGAGCTCAGGGGCTGGGCAGGAGGGTCCTGCGGGCTGGATGTGGCCCGCAGGCCATAGTTTGCCCACCTCTGGTGTAAAGGATCAGAACAGTCCATGTCATAGACATTAGTGTCATGATTAATAAAAGGCAACCTGGAACCTTCTAATTCTGAGAGACAATTAGGTATCAGTATGTAAGAACCTGAGAGCCTAATCAGGAACTTTAACATCCTAGTCCAAATGCTAAGTTAAAGCCTTACAACTTTTCTGCTTTCGCCACTGCTGGCACCAGAAGTGGGGAAAAAAATCAAGTGTGGAATTTGGAAAGCATGCAATGTACATTTATGCCTGTTAAGAAATGAAGCAGCATATCAAGAATTGCATTAACAGTTTATTTTATACATACAGTGGACAATACATTTTAATTTTATGTTTTCCCATGAAATCTCACTAGTATCAGACTGCAGCAATCAGTACAACAGAAACAAAAATAAAGGAGTATTTACAAGCACATTCTACAGTACTGAAAATGAATGATTAGAGTTTCTAAAGTGCAAAGTTGGCTATACAATACTGTACATAAACAAGTGTCTGCTTTCTTTCTTAGACTATGCACAGGTATTGTATTGTCATGGTATATCAGCCAATTAGTCATACTAAATACATAAATGGATCAAATCCTGCACTTGGATGCACATACAAGACTCCAATAGAAGCCCATGAGAGATGGGCATGCACATTCAAGGACATGATTTAGTCCTTTGGATGTAAAGAGTGTTACGTGCTAAATGATTACATTTCTTATTAACCTAGTAACGTGGACCATGGAGTGAGACACACATCATATGTGTATTAATTGCATTTAGAATTATTTTTCTATAAAGGACATGTTTTGCTTTAATTATTAAGCTATTATGAGCCCTCGTGTTAAATATTTTAAAAGGACAAAAACACCAAGAGCCTGATGTTCAGCTAGTACTCTAGTGTCTGCCTTCTTTGTGGCTGCAAATTTTGCCTCCACTGTGAAGTACAAGCACACGTATCAAGTCAGATATCAGACGTTTACATCAACTTTTTTTTCTGGGTGTAATTAAATGTAAAATTGCACCCTCAGACAGAGGTCATCACTAAACCACGTCCTCACTGTAAGAAGGGAGAGGCCTACTAATGCTGATGTTAATAAATATTAAAAAGTCACCTTATGAAATACATTATCTTTTTAAAAATTACTAAAGGAAACCTTAGCAGAAGGAAATTTATTATATACACATATATGTGCAGACCGACTGAAGCCCCCCAATTAGGCTTTCTAAATGCTTAAGCAAATGAAATAGTTAACTCAAAGAATGGAGTGTCTGTATTTAAATACCTTAACAAAATCGCCCGCTTCATAAGAACTCAAAAGGGAATCACCCGTTACAGAATAGCACCCTCTACTTATTTTCAGACTAAAATGTCTATATTCCTTGCCAAGGTAGGCGAGCTAATATCTTTTATTGGACCAACTTCCGTTGGTGAGAGAGACAAGCTTTCAAGCTACACAGAGCTCTTCAGGCTGGTAAAGGTACTAAAAGTGTCACAGTATTTAGCTGTTACACTCTTACTTTCTGAAGAAGAGCTCTGTGTAAGCTCAAAAGCTTTGTCTCTCTCACCAATGGAAGTTGGTCCAATAAACGATATTACCTCACCCACCTTGTCTCATTATCCCGGGACCAACATGGCTATAACAATATTCCTTGCCCACAAGCAAGACTACTTGTATTTTAAAGCCTATGGTATGTAGTGAGTAAACAAAAGTAAATCTTGAGTAGCAACAAAGTTTAAGAGCACAAACTCATTCTTTTAATCAGTTTTTAAAGCTACTATCTTGTGGTTACTGAAAACAGCTACAGCCTGGGACCAGCACAAGGTTACAACCTGGCTTATGTAATGCCATTATTTAACACTTGAGTTGTACACAGCCAGCAAACATTTACAGTGAATTTAAATCAAACAGGTCACTTAGTTCCAGAAAGTAGGGGATAATACAATGCCAGGGTCCAAATGCCAGTAAATATGCAAGTTCATAAAATAAGCTTTTGGAAGGTTTTTTGGGGAAGATCTGGTCAATGGTTACACAAAAACTACAGATTTGGATTTTAGGAAGAAATTTATATGCTACAGTACACACATGGTCAAATGCACCAATGCAGGTGCATGAACACACATGTGCAAGAAAATAAAACCAGTCAGGCGAATCTGTGCAATAGTCAGCAGCAGGGATTAAGAGAAAACTGTGATTTATTAAATCTTAACTTTAATTAGAGGAGATAAAATTGTCAGTCAGTAGAAAAATGCCTCAGTACAGGTTATTAAGCATAAAAGAGTAAGAGAACATACTGCAAATTTAGGACTGGGAGCATGGAGCTACATCAGCTTCTTATCCTTTAGTAAAATGAAAGCCACATAACTGCAAGGATAGAATATACTTTAAAAGAACAGGATTTTGTGGCAACAATACATACTTCCGACCTCCATTCTCCACCTTCAACTCCTTCACCACTACCAGTGTGGGAGATCCTAAAATGGCCCCTATAATTATTCAGGAGACCAGAATTTTCTCATCAGTAAATCAACACTTGGCGAAACCTTGGCCAAACATACTCAGTTCCCTTCCTTCAAAACGTGGGATGCAACAAGAAAAAAGTGGAGAAGTTGTGAGAGAGAAATATCTATCCAGGTACTTACAGCCCTGCCCCCTGCCCCAAAACATCTAAACACCTCAAATAGTTAAAAACATAAATGATCTTGTCCTTTACAACCTGTAAGAGAAATAGTTTGATTAGTTTATAGAGACGTGTGTATAGAACTGATTAGGAGAAAGGTAAATTGAAGAAACGAGTTTTGCATCTGATCTGTCCATAGTGGTTAGCACCACAATCATTCCTATCTCTTGTGGCAATGAGTTTCCTGGTCCAGTCCAGTTTCTGTGAAAGTTCGGTTTCCCAACTTCATAAATTGCCTCTTATTGGCTAACAGCTTCTTTGTTCCAGCTGTTGTGGAAAGTCACGATCTGCCGGGTAGCTACATCCAGTCCCACAGAAGATTCTGAATATCAAGACAGAGTCATTGAACTGGTCTCTGTACTGAATGGAGACAGCAGAGCACTGGAGCATACTTTCCTTGTAACCTGCGATGCTAACCACATGGGTTCCTGTGCTTATTATCAGCTGATGCTTTTTCACGGTGTGTAGCTTTATTCTTAGGTGTAATGACTTGCAAAGCTCAAGCCTGGAAGACATACATACACACATGGATCACTGTGACTAGTTGTGTGCCAGACAATCTTCTGACCAGTTACAAATGAAAAATAGATGTTTTTGTTGTCACAGTTCTATTGAACTCATTACTGCTGAATGCCCATAGGACACCAAGGCTGCAAACTAACTTGTCTGAGAGTGTAAGTCCTCAATAGTGGGGAAAATTATAGAAACAACAAGTTCTTCAGAGCACTTCCCTCTTCCAATCAGCCTCAGTCTTGCCTGGGGTCATTTTTTCCACAGCTGCTCTTTATCAAGGTGCTGTTTTCAGCTAGCAATTAAGAAAGCTGGGAGAAGATGCCATTTATGTTTGAGGTAAAGGAGATCTAGAGCTGGGTCTCCTTTGAGCTGAAACGCCAGCAATACTCATTGTCTTAGTTAAATGAAGCCATTGACAGAGCAGGTATTACCCAATTGAAAATACAGCACATTAATTACGGCTAAATGCATTCATCTGAGTTCTACGAAGCCACTGAATTTTAAGTACCCATAATTCACTCATTCTGGACCCCGCACAGTATTAAACTCTGAAAAAGTCTGGAAGTCTGACACAACGATATATTCATTTTAAGATCTTTTCCACTTACTTGCTTACTCATACTCCCATGCCACCACCAGACTCCCAGTTTGAGATTAAAAGGCTTCAAAGTAAGCAGATGGATAAAAGAAAAAAGCTACAGAGGAAGCAGGTTACTATGAACTTGGGTATAGGGAAACCTGTTTAAAGTGAAGTAGAATGGAGTGTCCAGTTGTTTCAACTGAGTATAAACTGCATTCTGATTATGGAGAAATTCTGCTTCTGAAGAAGTATAGTGAAGCGACTTCACTATAGAAGTTTCCACATGGATAAAGCCCAGCTGAGAATTACTTTTCTCATTTATCAGAAACAGAATGGGAATGAGACAGGGTTTTAAGCCTTTGTGACAAACATGACTAAAAGATTGCTCCTGGCAAATTTCCATTTGTATCTTTTTTGTTCTGGGCACTTGACACTATAAGTAGCATGTAAGGAATTAAATCTCATGGAAAGAAACCATATCTTTAACTTTACCAGCCTTTCCTATCGTGAGAAATACTAACTTCAGTATGCTATTCTCGGTATAGAAGCTAACCTGAGAACCACAACCTAAACTTAAAACACTTTCTATAAGCATGTGGACATTTGAGCTCATTCTGAGGTCCCAACTAAAACAACAAAAAGCATGGCTATAAATAATTTCATTTATAAATCCAGCCACATTCTCAATGAAGAGACCTCTACTAAACATAAATCAGAAAATTAATCTTTAGGATTAAGAAGAATTAGAAAAGGGGATCTGAAATGAAAGCCCCAGAGTTCATTAAATACAACTTGTAGAAGGAATTCAAAGCACTCATGGTGTTTAAGAGATCTGGCATCCACTGTCTTTTTGAGGCTTTATATCTGGTTCTTTCAGAGGTTTCACTTCTTCCTCTGGTTTTGGCTTAGCCTGCAGACAAGAAAAGAGTTTGAAAAAGATGAATTAAAAGAATCATGGGTTCCACACAATGTTCATATTATAGGTTTCAGCAGCGAGGCCATGCAGAGTTTAGATATACTTGTCCACTAGTCTACTCTATTCTGCCAGCTCAGGGCTTTCTGGCTTCTCTAACACAACAATGTTAAATCTGCTGTATTTCATGATGTCTTGAAATAGACAGCACAGAATGGACTAAACTAAATTTAGATGCACCTACTTTAGAAGTACAGCTGCAGTGAGTTTGAAGGCCATTGCCTTTTAACGACATGACCCTTAAATTCTATCTTAAAAAATGCAGACAGGCAGATTAATAATACTACCACCTAACTCCTATATTGCACTTTTCGTTCAGAGACATCAAAGTGCTTTACAAAGAAGGTCAATGTCATTATATGAGCCAAAGACAACCAGGAAACAATGTGACTTTTAGGCTCTGGACTAACAGAAGTTATTCAATGAGGAGAGAAGGTAGCTGGGAGCTTGGATTGTTGACCTATGACTGACTCACGGTGTGCCTTTTTTGAAGTGGGAATTTCACCATCTACCTCACAGGGGTGTGGCACGCTTCAAATGAAGAGTACTATAAAAATGCAAAATAGTAAGGACTGGTGGAAAGGTATGTTAGATAGTTGGTACCATCCTGTCCTATGATGCTCTTTAGCAATACCTAGCAGATACATTAACATTCTGTGCCCACATATACAATTTTTATTTATTTAATTACATTAGACTGTCCCATGGCATTAGCTCCTAAAGTACCTCAGTACCTCACCAACTTCACTGAATTTAACCTCAACACTCCTGAGATGTCCCAGCATTACTCCAGATTTACTGATGGGGACACTATGGCACAGTGATTTGCCTAGTCACATAGTAGAACCAGGAATAGAACCGAGGTTTCCCAATTCCCAATTCCCCTGCATAGAGCCTACACCTCAAGACCATCTGTATGTGCTCTATTGAGCAGGATATGGCAGAAGGCACTAGTGGAAAAGAAAAAAGTTGCCAACTCTCTACTACGTGTGGGATAAAGCTGATGGGAGGGAGAGGAGAAAAAACGTTAAGTAAAATATTCTTACACTGTCATCCTTTGGCCTCTTGGTGAGATCAAATGCAGCAAGTGTTTCAGGGGTCCAGTGTGCATGCAAGGCAGGAAATTCAAAAAGGATGGGTTCTACCAGGCCATAGTTCGCCTTCAGCTCCAGCTGAGGAGCCTCAGGTGGCACTTTCTGAAAGTAACTAAGACAGAATTTAATATTTTAAAAACACAGTAAACAAAGATTTGCAGTTAGTTTATTTTTCTTCACTTTTGGGAGTAATCTGGCCACTCCAAAGGCACCACACTATTACTGCTGAAGTAGTCCCATTTTATTTAAGGGTCTTAATGCTGGTATTATGAAAAGGTGTTTAGTGCAGCAGGTTTCCGTGATGCTTCACAAGAACAGACAATTTCCTATTTGTGCTTCCTCCGATCTCATAGAACAGGAAGGGACCATTGGCTACCTTCGTCATTTCCATCTGATAACAGATTAGTTTTCTCCCCTTTGTTTTGGTGGAAGCAGAGATAAATGCTGTTGTTTCAATTTACAGATACTTAAAATAAAAATCCAGATTAGGGTTAGCAACGCTTTAGAAGAAAAGGGAAGAGGCAGATGCAACAATTTTCCTCAATCTCCCTGAAGTCAGATGCTTGGCATGTCAGCATGCACTGATGCTGGCAACACTGCAACCACCAGAGAGCCCTGCTAGGTCACAAAACCAGAAACACAGTATTTTTATATATATCTTTTGCAAAGTCACACCACGCAATAGAAACTGCCACTTACCTTATGCTCAACACATATCGTGTTTATGCTCGAGCAGAGTTCTGTGACTATTTCTCTGTCATCAGTATGGCATGAACAACATCTCAGGGAACAGACCCTGGGCATCTGACTTTGGGTTTTGTTGTTTTTTTAAAGGGACATGCCATCAGACTTCTATGAATCTTTTTATATACTACTGTTACAAGTCAGAAATACAATTCATGTAACTGAAGTTGATTAGCAAAAAACATTTCTCTATTTTTAGTTTACTGTGTTATTTGACAGTACTTGTGTTCTATGATTGGCAAGGGGATTCAGGGGCTGGTGTAGTTCTTGTAACTATTCTGAACTCACTAGATTCAAAGTTGATGTCCCTTCAAGAGTAAGTTTATAAATCAGTTAACTGAATGCCCTATTTACCATAGTTACTTGGGGCACTTGGCAATTAACAGGCCACACAGCTCAGGCAATATTACTGATTTACTTTAGAAAAGCCAGCAAAGGAAGTACAAATATAGGTTTTTATGTAGAGCCTACAAAAACAATAGCTAAGTTTAAGAAAGTCACAAGCAAAGACAAGATTCAAAGTTTACTTATATTACAGACACATGAAGAAAGTAGACACTCTTCCAATTTCTTTAACACACTGAAGCAAATTCTTTAAAGGGAAAAATTGTTCTTTGTAAAGTTTACAATCTAATCTTAAAAGTAATAATAAATGAAGGATTAAAAAAAAACAAAAAACCACATCTGTGTAAAGTAGTGTACCAAGTAAGGAATATATACTTACATGAATCCATTTTCTCTCTGGCATTTTTCTAGGGTATTCTTAACCAGACTTCCCAGTTTCCTAAAGAAGAGGTGGCCAGAGGGTTTGGCAGTAGTCCCAGGCCCTTTCGTTTCACCATATTCTTTGCATAATGCTTCAGCCTTGACAAAAACTTCACAAGAAAGCAATATGAAAGTTACAATTGGCATAAAACTGCACTTATCTCTTACTTTAATTGTAACAGACCCAGTAATCCCTCCAGGATTCTGATTAGATAAAGCTGAAGCAGCTGGTTTCAGCGTGACTCCTCCAACCATGGCCAAACATCGGTATAGTCAGTAAAAGAGGTAGACAACTTTTTGGGTGGGGAGGACAGAGAAGTATTCTCATTTGCAGAGACAAGTAGAAGTGGGACTGTAAAACAAGAACTGGAACTACATAGCCACGGAACTGAACATAGTCCTGAAAGAATTCAGGGACAGACTAAGGGGAACACCACTATGGGTGTCTGGTATGATAATAAGCCAAGCACATTAAAGAAGCCTGAAATGTACAGTTGTGCCCTGAGGGACCAAGGGAAAATTCCAAGAAGGATGTTTTTCTATGACTCTTTTGTCTGCTTAGCCTGTCAGAGAGGAAGAAAGTGCTCTCTAGAAATGCAAGACTCACTTTAATAAAGCTAATCCAAAGTGAAATTGCTCTCTCCAGTCATGGGAGCTTAGTCATATAAATGAAGGCATTATCTGAGTATTAACTCAAATTTTTATAATATTACCATTAGTCCCTTGATACAAATATTTAAGATCACAGAATCATAGAAATGTAAGGCTGGAAGGGACCTTGGGAAGTCATCAAATCCAGTCCCCTACGCTATGGAAGGACTTAGTAAACCTAGACCATCCCTGACAGGCACTTGTCCAACCTGTTCTTAAAAACCTCCAGTGATGGGATATCACAACCTCCCTTGGAAGCCTAGTTCAGAGCGGAACTACCCTTATAGTTAGACTTTTTTTCCTAATATCTAACCTAAGTCTCTCTTGATACAAATTAAGCCCATTACAGTTCTTGTCCTAACTTCTGTGGACATGGAGAACAATTGCTCACAGTCCTCTTTAGAATAGTCAACATATTTGAAGACAATTATCAGGTTCCCCCGCCCTCAGCCTGCCTTTCTGAAGACTAAACCAGTTTAACCCTTCCTAAACCTTTTATCATTTTTGTTGCTTTCCTCTAGAGTCTCTCCAATTTGTTCCCATCTTTCCTTAAGTGTGGTGCCCAGAACTGGACACAGTACTCCAGGCTGTGGAGGCTGCACCAGTGCTGAGTACAGCAGGATAATTACCTCCTGTGTCTTATAAAAGACACTCCTGTTAATTCACCCCAGAATGATATTAGTCTTTTTCACAGCTGCATCACACTGTGGACTCATTCAAATTGTGATCCACTATGCCACCCCTCCTAAACGATCCTTTTCAGCAGTACCATGACCTAGCCAGTTACTTCCCATGGTGTAACTGTGCATTTCCTTCCTAAGTAAAGTACTTTGCAATTGTCTTTGTTAAATTTCATCTTGTTGATTTCAGACCAATTCTCTACTTTGTCAAGGTCATTTCGAATTCTAATCCTGTCCTCCAAAATTCTAACAACTCCTCCCAGTTTGATGTCATCTTCAAATTTTATATGTGGATTCTCCTCTCCATTGTCTAAGTCATTAATGAAAATATTAAATAGTACTAAACCCAGGCCTCGCCCCTGCAGGACCCCTCTAGATACACCCTCCCAGCTTGACAGCAAACCATTGATAACTACACTTTGTGTATGGTCTTTCAGCCAGCTGTGCACCCACCTCATAGTAATGTCATCTAGACCACATTTCCCTACTTCCCTTATGAGATTGTCATGTGGGACTGTGTCAGAAGCCTTACTAAAAATCAAGATAGATCACATCTACTGCTTCTCCCATCCGCTAGGCCAGTAACCCTGCCAAAGAAGAAAATTAAGTTGGTTTGAAATGATTTGTTCTTTACAAATCTATGCTGGATATTTCTTATAATCCTATTATCCTTCAGGTGCTTACAAACTGATTTGTTTAATAATTTGTTCCAGTATCTTTCCAGATATCTAAGTTCGGCTGACTGGTCTATAATTCCCTGGATCCTCTTTGTTCCCTTTTAAAGATAGGTATTATGTTTGCCCTTCTCCAGTTCTCTGGGACCTCAACTGTCCTCCATTCTGAGATTGCTTCAGCTAGTTCCTTAACGACCCTAAGATGAATTTTATCAGGCCCTGACAACTTGAATACATCTAACTCAGTGGTTCTCAACCTGTGGCCCATGGGCCGCTTGCAGCCCAATCGGCACACAGCTGCAGCCCATATGACATCCTCAGGGCCATATAGGTAGTATTGGATGCAGCCCACAATGGTAAATAGGTTGAGAACCACTGATCTAACTTATCTAAATGTTCTTTACCTTGTTCTTCCCCTATTTTGCTTTGTGTTCCTTCCCCCTTGTTCTGAATATTAACTGTGTGAGGATCCGGTCACCATTAACCTTTTTAGTGAAGACTAAAGCAAAATAGGTATTAAACACCTCAGCCTTCTTGATGTCATCAGTTATTAGCTCTTTTTCCCCACCAAGTAGACAACCTATACAGTAACTCCTCAGTTTCAGTAGTCCCGGTTAACGTTGTTTCGTTGTTACGTTGCTGATCAATTAGGGAACATGCTCATTTAAAGTTGTGCAATGCTCCACTCTTATGTTGTTTGGTTGCCTGCTTTCTCCACAGCTGGCAGCCTCCCTATGCGCCCCCCGCCCACTGCCAGACCCTGTGGATCAGTGCCTTCCCCCTTCTCTGCAAGCACCAAGGGCGGGGTGGGCATCAACCCTCAGCCCGCCCACTCCCCCCCTTCCCTCAAACCCCCATCCTTGACCTGCCTCTTCTCCCCCCCACCTCCTCCCCCTTCACTTCCCACGCTGCATCCTCGCTCCTCCCCTCCCCTCCCTTCTAAATGCTACAAGCCAGCTGATTGCCCTGGGCAGGAGAGGAGGGGGGAGTAGCGAGGACTCGGTTTGCAGATTCCCCCTCCCTCCCCTGGCAGGAGGCAATCAACTGGCTTGCAGTGTTTAGAAGAGAGTGAGGACACAGCATGGGAAGTAAAGGGGGAGGAGCGGGGGGAGAAGAGGCAGGTCAAGGATGGGGGTTTGGGGGAAAGGGGGAGTGGGCGGGCTGAGGATTGAGCCTCCCCCCCACCCTCCCCCGTGCTTGCAGAGTAGGGGAAGCTGCTGCTGCTGCGCAACGTGCTTCTCCTAGCCTACAGCACCTTCAGCCTCCTTGCCTGCCTCATCTCCAGTGCCAGTGGGCTGTGCCTGTGTAGGGTAAGGCAGGGGCACCTCCCAACTATAGTATTGTATTGTATGTACAGTATGTTGGTAAACACACAACACATGCACACTACCCCCCTCCCCCAGCATAGTACTAAATTGCTTGTTTAAAAATTGTTTAAAAGGTATAGAATGCCTTTTGTCTGTGTAGTGAGTCGGTGTGGCTCCCCTCCTGCCCAGAAGAGGGAGCCCACGTGCAGGCACCAGAGGGGGTGGAGCCACTGCCGCCTGTCCCCGCCCCCCGGAAGTCAAGGGGCGGGACAGGAAGTATAAAGGCCGGCCGCCCGAGCTCAGTCGGCAGCCAGTCACCACAGGGAGCAGACATGCGGCCGGGAGCTCCCGACCAGGAGACCTCCGAGGCCCGAGCCCTAACTGGCCTGAGCTACCCCGGGCACGCTACGAGGAGGAGCCGCCGGAGCCCGTCCGCGCCCGTCACTGGGAGAATCCCTGGGAGCCCCACCCCACCAACCCGGAGGGCGAGACTGCACCCGAACCCCTCCGCCCCTGCTGCTACCCGGAGGAGCCGCCCGAGTACCGTTGGCCTGACTTCCCGGCAGAGCTACCGGACCTGCCACCGAGCCCTGGCCGAGAGGAGCCCATGCAGATGGACTGGCCCGAGCCCGGCGCGACGAACGAGGTAGGCTCTGAGGGGGATCATGGAAGTAGCCTGGGGGTAGCCGACTCCGGTCCGGCTGCAACCGAGTGTGAGCCAATGTCAGTGTGTTGCGGTCTGGATACCCCACTGACCAGCAGCGGCAGTAA